ACTCACCTCAGCCTCCCAAAGGCACGGGATTACAGGCTGAGCCACTGAGCCCGGCTGGGCAAAGTATATTAACTGACAATTATCAAAAAAGAAATGGACTACATATATGAAACACTCCTAAGAAAATAAATGCAAATTTTCACTGGCAAAGATCAAAAGATGATAACACTAGAAAGAAGTGTGGGCAACAGGTACTCTCAGACATTGCTGATGAAAGTGTCCATCAGGTATACCAAAATCAGAAATGGACCTGTCCTGAGACAGCAGCTCTACTTCTAGGAATCCCACCTACAGACATGTTTGCACGTGTACAAAAGAACCCATACAGAAGGCTAATTTACACGTTCTTTTAGGAAAAAATTAAAAAGTTGATAACTCTGTAAAGGACCGTCAATGCAATGGCACTGGTCAATGGTACATTATACAAGTGAACACTATGTACCCATTAAAAACAATGAGAGTGCATTGTACGCACTCTTATGGTCAGTCTCCAAGGTATCTTAAAGTAAGATCAGAAAAGCCATGTACAGGACATCACCAACTGTATAAGATGGAGGGTGGAAACATACAATTTATAATTCATAAATATTTCTGAAGAGATAAACAGGAAATTGAGAACACTGCCTCTGGGGTGAAGAAGTAGTGGTTGGTGCTTACAACAACAAAAAAAATTAAGTCTTTCTTTAAGGTAACAAATTTAGCAATAACCTAAAAGAAAAAAATGTTTAAAATTAACACTTGCCTTTTTTCCTTTTGAGGTTTCAGAATCCTCATCTTCATCTACACTGAGTAGATTTGCCCCACTACATAAAAAATAAGGGAAAAAACCTTAAGTAACAGTTACAATCCATACATTAAAAATTCTGAAGTTTTATCCTCTATCCTAATTCAGGATAATTCAGAGAATCAGTAATTTTTCCTGTGAAGGGCCAGAGTAAATATTTTAGGCTTTGCAGGCCATATGGTCTCTGTAGCAACTACTGTTCTTTGTTATTGTAATATGAAAATGGCTATAAACTATCTACACATGAGACAATGCTCCAGTAAAAAAATATTAAGAGATTAAGTCCATGGGTCACAGTTTGCTCACCCTTACCATAAATGAACGTACAATTTTCTTTTTTATAATTATGGATTTTATATATTCTCACTCATCTTCTGTCTTACATTGACAATTAGAGTAGAAAGATACAGAAACAAAATAATGAAAAATAAACAAATTGGTAAGGGAAGAAAACCTTAGCTAACAAAAAGAAATTCCAATGGTACTGACATAGTAAAATAGTTCAACTCCACCACTCCTGAAAATATATCAACCCCTAACTGAGAATCACTGGCCTGAGAGATTAACAGATTAGACTATAGATCTATTAGCAGTTGATGTTAATCTCAACATGTTCACAAAAAGCTGGGGGCTCTGAAGACCCATAATGAACCAGAGTACAATTTACAGTTCATAAATGAATTGTCTGTCTGGGACAGCCAGCACCTTAAAAGATAATTTTTTAAAAACGTACCTGGCCAATCTACCACGAAAGAAAGTCAAATACAACTTTTTTAAAGAGAATTCTGTCAAGGTATTTACAGTAATACCCTAGCTATTTAAAATAAAAGCACAAAATGCTTTGTTTCATTACTGCTTATAATCCAAAATTCTTTAATGTCAAAAATTCTCTTGTAAATATTTTACAAAAATGTTTAAAAAGTAGTATACTTTCTATGCAAATAGTTTCAGATTTAATCCTAATTTTTCAAATCTACGTATGTACTGTAACAAAAAATGTTATATTAAAAATAATTAGCTAGGTACCGTGGCTCATGCCTATAACCCCAGCACTTTAGGAGGCTAAGGTGAGAGGACTGCTCAGCCCACAGGTTTGAGACAGACTGTGCAACATGGCATGACCTCATCTCTACAATAAATAAAAAATTAGCTAGATGTGGTGGCATGTGCCTGTGGTTCCAGCTACTAGAAAGGCTGAGACAGAAGGATCACCTGAGCCCAGCTGGTAGAGGCTGCAAAGGCCGTGAGCATGCCACTTCACTCCAGCCTGGGCAACAGAGTAAAACTCCAAGTCAAGAAAAACAAAAGACATCAAAAGACAGATAGAAAGAGAGAAAGAAAAAGGAAGGAAGAAAGGCCAGATCAGTAAATTAAAAAAACTAAAAACAACATTTAATTTGTAATACAAATATCAAGACATACAAAAAGTTCTATTAAAACTATTTTAAAATTTTGCACAGCAAAGTCCAAGTATATTAACAAAGTGTAATGAACACTCTGCTTAACTTCTGTCTGGCCAAACACCTGTGTTTATCATTTATAATTTCTGCTTTCTCTGGTGAAAATCTGCTCTGCGATGCACATGGCAGGGATTCTGGTCACAAGTGGGGAAGGAAGACACTGCTGCACTTAAACGTTCATATAAAATTCAAGGGTCCTGATCTGGTTCACTTACTCATGATGAATGTGACTTTCCAAATTGTTACTTAAACAGAATGCCTTTCTTTAAAAAACAAAAAACAAACAACAATGTCCTTAATTTAAAATCTTCTGTTTACAGGCCATTTTTAATCATAAGGTTAAATATAGTATAGCCATGTATTCATACATTTCAAAAGATGGAGCAACATAATAGCAAAAATATTTACCAATAAAGAACTGGGTTTTCTTTCCTTAATAGTACTGGAAAGAGAACAATGTTGTCTTAAGAATACTATATTCTTAAAAATATTTCCACGGGATATAAATTGTTTTTCCAATGAAAGCTTTATTTTTTATAAAATATCTAAGAGAAAAAACATCCTTACTCTTTATCTGTATCTCCTTCACTTTCTTCTTCATGACCAAAGCTCCAGTTATTTTTAAAACCTCCATCCCTCTTAGACTCTGATCTAGCCAAAGCTGAAATGAAAACAAACTTCAGTAAGTATTCATTAATAGAACTATTCAATATAAGACAAATCCGAGCATTTCCCAAGTTCTGATTATTCTAGGTTTCCTTTTAATTTGCTTGTCTTTGTTCTATTTCTTGTTCTCTCCAAAGAGAAAAAGAACATATTAAAATCTGTTTTTACAAATTTATAGTCATCCATATCTTTGTTTGCTATACAAATAAGCTCAAATTTGTAAGATATGATAACAGACATGTGGGGGTACATGAATATGTATGAATATATAAAATTTGCCCTAAATCTCAATCTTTGATCACTGCTTCTAAAAATTAGTACCTGTAGTTTCACGAGAACTGTATCCACACTTTTCCTTAAATTCAATCATCCCTGCCTTTTTTTTTTTTTTTTTTTGAGTTGGAGTCTCACTCCGTCACCCAGACTGGAGTGCAGTGGCTGCTCCTGGCCACCGCAGCCTCGACCTGCTGGGCTCCGGCGATCCTTCCGCCTCAGCCTTCCAAGTAGCCGGAATTACAGGCATGCGCTACCACGCCCGGCTGATTTTTTGATTTATTGTATAGATGATGTCTTGCTGCCCAGGCGGGTCTCGAACCCGCGGGCTCAGGCAATCCACTCACCTCAGCCTCCCAAAGGTGCGGGATTACAGGCTGAGCCACCAAGCCTGGCATCCCTGCCTTTTAATAGACAAAATTTTTTTTCTGTGTTAGTAACATAATTAACTCGATGACCAGAAAAACTCTCCATATTGGAACACCAAACCTGTTCATTATGAGCTTTAAAAAATTTTATAAGTACATGGCTGAAACTCCCTGAAGCCATAAACAACTGGAGAGTGGAAACCTCCGGAGCTTTATGAAGTTGCAAAGCTGGCATTCTTCTTAGTGCCAAAAGACAAAAGCCTGGTGTCCTGCCTCTAAGGGGCCCAGTAAGATGAAGGCCCAGACGACCTGAAGGTCAACACTCCAACTCACTGAACTGGGAAACAATGTACTGCAGAGACCATCAGGATAACCGTGCTGTCTTGCCCTTGGCTTTGGCTTTCTGAGTTGAATTAAAGACAAATAAAGTGTATTCATCCCATGGTCAGTGCTACTGCATGAGTATTTGTTACCCCTCCAAAAGTCGCATGTTGAAGCCCCAACCCTCAAGGTAATGGAGGTAGGGCTTCTGGAAGATGATTCCACCACAAAGGCAGAGCCCCCCTAAGTGAGAGGAGTGCCCTTCTGAAAGACATCCAAGAGAGCTTGTTCACAAGCCCCTTCCAAGGCCTGAGGATACAGCCAGAAGGCACCAACTAGGAGCAGGCAGGCCCTTCTCATAGGCCTGCTGAACTGACACAGAACTGGACCCCTTCATCTGACTTCTAGCCTCCAGAATTGGGAGAAACAAATTTCTGTTGCTTAAAAGCTACCCAGTCGATAGAGTTTGCTACAGCAGACTGAATGGACGACGGTATTAGAAAACTCCTAACCACAGGCCCACAACTAACTAAGGTTTGTAGCCAGAATTTTCACACCTATGAGGCCCAGAAGAGGCCATAATTAAAACAGCATTGCATAAGAAGACGCTCAACATCACTAGCCATCAGAGAAATGCAAATCACAGCCATAATGAAATACTATTTTCATCCATTAGGATAGCAAATACTTCAAGACATGGAAAAGTAACAATCAGTGGCTAGGATGTGGGAGAACTGGAAGCCCTGGGCATGGCTGGTACGGCTGCTGCGGAAGAGAATCTGGCGGCTCCGTGGAAAGTTAAACACAGAATTACCATATATGATCCAGCAATTTCATTTCTAGGCAAAGGCACTTCCCTTCCATTTCACATTTAAAGTAATTGAAAGCATGGACTCAAACACATATTTATATAACAATGTTCACAGCAGCATTATTCATAAGCCAAAAACTGCAACAACTCAAAGGTCTATCAACAGATTAATGGATAAAGAAAATGTGGTATGTGTGCGTACACACACACAATGGAATAATATTCAGCCTTAAAGGAATGAAATTTGGGATACAGGGTACAACATGGATGGACTCTGAAAACATTACACTAAGTGAAACAAGCCAGATGTGAAAGGACAAATATTGCCTGATTCCACTTATGTAAGGTTCCTAGGATGGATAAATTCATAGAGAAAGTAGAATCAAAATTAGAAGGGCATAAAGGAACTGGGAGGATGAAGAATTACAGTTTAATGGGTATCAAGTTTTTGTGTGAAATTTTAAAAAAGTACTGGAAATGCATAGTGATGGCAGTTGCACAACATTATAAATGTACTCAATGTCAAGGAATTGCACAACTGTACTCTTAAAAATGTTTAAAAATGGTTGGACATGGTGGCTCACGCCTATAATCCCAGCACTTTGGGAGGCCGAGGTGAGAGGATTGCCTGATACCACAGGTTCGAGACCAGTCTGTGCAACTTGGTGAGACCTCATCTCTAAAATAAAACCAAAAAATTAGCTGAGCATGGTGGCACACACCTGTAGTTCCAGCTACATGGAAGGTTGAAGTGGAAGGATCGCCTGAGCCCAGAAGGTTGAGGCTGCGATGTCCTTGAGTGTGCCACTGCACTCCAGCCTGGGCGACAGAGTGAGACTCTAACGCAAAAAAAAAAGTTTAAAATTGTAAATTTTTGGCCAGGCGCATTCGCTCAAGCCTGTAATCCCATTACTTTGGGAGGTGGAGGCAAGAGGATTGCCTGAGTCCAGGGGTTCAAGACTAGCCTGGGCAACTTGGCTAAACCTCATCTCCACAATAAATCAAAAAATAAGCCGGACATGGTGGTGCAAGCCTGTAGTTCCAGTTACTTGGAAGGCTGAGGAAGAAGGATTGCCTGAGCCCAGCAGGCTGAGGCTGCGGTGGCCATGAGCATGCCACTGCACTCCAGCCCGGGTGATAGAGTAAGACTCCACCTCAAAAAGAAAAATAAATAAATAAAGGGAAGGAAAGAAAAACATTAGGGAGATGTTGCAGTTAAATACCATGAATTAAACACATATTTTTTTTCTCCATACCCTCTACTAAAATGACAACCAGAAAGAGGAGGAAAACTAGAAACCCATAAGAACAAAAATAATCCAGAGAGGAGATAATAGATGATAGATGTAACCAAAGGGATAGAAGATAAAAATTTGATGGATAGATAGGAACTAATTTAGCTTACCAAAGAAAGGAAAAATCTAAAAGCCTATGAAGGCACAAATTACCAAACTAACACAAGAAGCAGAAGATTTTATTTTCTGAGTTGGAGATTCACTCTGTTGCTCAGGCTGGAGTGCAATGACAGGCTCATGGCTCACTATAGCATTGACCTCCTGGGTTTAGGCAATCCTTCTGCTTCAGCCTCCAGAATAGCTGGGACTACAGGCATGTGCTTTATTTATTTATTTATTTATTTAGTTATTTATGTAGAGGAGATCTCGCTATGTTGCCCAGGCTGGTCTTGAACTCCAGGCTCAGGCAGTCCTCCTGCCTTGGCCTCCCAAAGTGCTGGGATTACAAGTGTGAGCCACTGTGTCCAGCCAAAAAAAGGAAAAAAATTTTAATATCATGATACCAATAAAATAGATTGAATTCCTTATTACAGATCTTCCCACAAAGAAAAACTCAAGGCTCAGAAGGCACTGCCAGGAATTTGCTTCAAATTTTTAAAAACTGTGCCAGTGGCCAGGCGCAGCAGCTCACACTAATCCCAGCACTTTGGGAGGCCAAGGTGAAAGGACTGCCTGAGCCCATGGGTTTGAAACCAGTCTGGGCAACTTGGCGAGACCTCATCTCTACAATAAACCAAATAATAATAATAACAATAATGATAATAATAAATTAACTGGGCGTGGTGGTGCATGCCTGTATTTCCAGCTACTTGGAAGGCTGAGACGGAAGGATTGCCTGAATCCAGCAGGTTAAGGCTGCGGTGGCCATGAGCGTGCCACTGCACTCCAGCTGGGGCAACAGAATGAGAGTGAGACTCCATTTCAAAAAATGTAAAACAGCACCAATCTTACCTAAACTTTTCCAGAAAACAAAAAAGTAAATACTGTGTAGCTCACTTTATGAAGTCAGAATACTTGATCTCAAAATTGACAATGACATTCAAGCAAGGAAAATTACTAAGCAATTTCACATAAAAACAGATACAAACCTAAAATAAAATATTAGCAAATCAAATCCACTGAAACAAAAACTCTTAGCAAAACAGGTATAGGAGAGAACTTCCTTAATTTGAAAAAGAATAGCTCCAGAAGCCTTCAACAGACACCATAACCTTCCCCTGGCCATAAGTCTATTCAAGTATACAGTGGAGGTCCTTGCGGAGGCAGGAAAGAGAGAAAATGCCTAAGAATGGTGAGGAAAGTAAGAAAGAAGAAAACTTATTCATGGGCAGAATCACAAGTCTCATGGGAAGAAGGAAGACTTTTTTTTTTTCCTAAAGAAGATACATTTGGTAGAATATGAAAGGCATAAGGAAGAATGTAACTAGAAAATCATTACTTAGGAACCACTGTATTAATAGCTGGGGGATTCAGGCATGACTCATCTATGGATGCTAAAACCAGTGGGTGAAATCTGGTAAGAAATAAGGTATTCACATTGCCTCAATGTATCCCTTCACACAAAATTTATTAATTGCAAAGGACACGAAAGTAACTTTCAGGGACATAATCTGGCAAATAACACCTGAACTAAGTGATCCAAGTGAATTTCACCAGCAATAGGACAAACTGACATCATAGGCTTCTAGATCTAACAAACCGGGAAACACATAGATCGTTCCTATGGCATTCCTTAGAATAACCTCGGCCAGGCACAGTGACTCAGGCCTGTAATCCCAGTACTTTGGGAGGCGGAGGTGAGAGGATTACCTGAGCTCAAGGGTTGAAGACCAGCATGAGCAACATGGTAAGACCTCATCTCCACAATAAACCACAAAATTAGCCCAGTGTGGTGGCACACACCTGTAGTTACAGCTACTTTGAAGGCTGAGGCAGAAAGATTGCATGAGCCCAGCAGGTAGAGGCTGTGGTGGCCTTGAGTATGCTACTGCACTCCAGTCTGGGTGACAGAGCGAGACTCCCACTCAAAAAAAAAGTTTCACCTGATTATAATCAGGAGGAAACATCAGATAAACACAAATTAGGATAAACTCCAACTACAAAATAACCATTGTGTTTTCTTAAATATGCCAAGGTCAAGAAAGACAAAGACTGAAAACCTATTTCCAGGTTAAAGGAGACTAAAAAGACATGACAAACAAATGCAATACACAATTCTATATCAGATCCTGAACCAGAAATTTGTTTCTCTTCCTATCAAGGAGCATTTTTTGTCAACTGGCAAAAATTGGAATAGTTTGTAGATTAGATAATACTACATTGATGTTAATTTTCTGATTTTGACAACTACACTGTATAGTTCCTAAACAAAAGTAGGGGGAGGTAAGAGAACAAAGCAAATGGGGGTATATGGGCAGCATGTCCGAAACTTATTTCAAAAGGTTAAAAAACAAAAAGTATGTTTTTTTTTTTTTTCAGTTGGAGTCTCACTCGGTCGCCCAGACTGGAGTGCAGTGGCCGCTCCCGGCCACCGCAGCTTGCCTGTTGGGCTCTGGCGATCCTTCCACCTCAGCCTTCCGAGTAACCAGAATTACAGGCATGCGCTACCATGCCCGGTTGATTTTTTGATTTATTGTAGAGATGAAGTCTTGCTGCCCAGGCGGGTCTTGAACCCGCGGGCTCAGGCAATCCACTCACCTCAGCCTCCCAAAGGCACGGGATTACAGGCTAAGCCACCGAGCCCGGCTAAAAAATGTATATTTATATAAACATATAAGCAGCCATGTGCCACTTAATGACGTTTCAGTGAATGATGGACAGGATACAGGACGGAGGTTCCATAAGATCATAGTACTGCATTTTACTGTACCTTTTCTACATTTAGATATGCTTACATACACAAAACACTTCTCATTCTGTTACAACTGCCTGCAGTATTCGGTACACGGGTTTGTAGTCTAGGAGCACAGGCCATATCGTATAGGTGTGCAGTAAGTTCTACCATCTAAATGTGAAGTACCGCTATGATGCTCACACAATGACAGAATCACTTAACCCGTTCGCGACCGCTGACACGAATTCACGTCTTTGCAAATTCTGTTTCTAAATGCTGCAACGCTGTCATATGTATGTTATTATATTTTGCTTGAAAATGAGTGGTCAGGCAAGGAGAAAGTTAATTGAGATAATTATCTGATAACAACCTCACAATGTTGTTACTAATTTACGTAGTTGGTAAAAATTGCAAGTTGGTCATTATTTAGTTGCAATTAGTGCTGCATACATGTATTTTGATATTTCAGGGCTTTCATACGTCTTCAACATTAAAAATAATTTACTCTAATTATGGAAAATGAAGAAATACATGCTGACGAGATTTCCCAGGTCGAAGGTGAATTTAGTGAACTTATTACTGATTGTGAGACTGATAATGATGTAATGATGCAATGCAAATGAAGATATATAATGCAGATAATCTATGAATCTAGTACTGGTGAAAATGAATCAATACTGAGTGGACAAAATATGATCCAAAAAGAAACTTACAAGTGTTTACTGGGAATCCAGATGTCAAGGTATTTCCAAATGACCCTCAAAGTACAAGAGCAGTTGTTGGACTATTTATTGTAAATCATTTTATAGAAATGAATGAAACTGAAACTAACAGGTATTATGATCAGATGCACCATAAATATAAATGCCCCCAAAAATTTTAAAAATGGAGCAATACTACAGTATCTGAGATGAAAAAATTTCTAGCAGTATATACTTTGAGAGGACAAGCAAAGAAAACCACAATCTGTGATTATTGGTAACACATCTGTCAACTGCGACATCTTTTCTTTTAAAAAAAAAAAAAGTTGCCCAGGCTGGTCTCAAGTCCCTGGGCTCAAGCAATCCTCTCACTTCCACCTCCCAAAGTGCTGGGATTATACGTGTGAGCTACCACACTCAGCTAATACATTTCTTTTCAAAAATAATGACATGAAACAGATTCCTACAAATTTTGTGGTTTTTGTATTTTTTCCAATAACGCAGAAACACAGTCAAATCCAAGCAGATTATGCTAAATTTAACCCATAATAAGTTGTGTTTTAAATAAGTTCAACATTGTGTACAAACCTGAACAAGAATTTTCCTTGGATGAATCCATGATACCTCATCGTAGAAGACTGTCCTTTCAGGTTTATAATCCAAATAAAAATACAAAGTACGGAATGCTAGTCAGACTTGTCTGAAGCAAATACTGGATATGTCTGCAACTTTCAGCTGTATTGTGAAAAAGTTGACAATTTAGACAAGACCATTTCACTTGTGCTTAACAACAAAAGTTTGCAGCAACCAGTTTCAGATTTTTAAAAAAAATTTTCACCAGCTCTCAGTATTGGGAAAGTGAAAAATTTGCCAGTCTTAAATGTGTTAAGATGCATTTCTCAGATGACAGCTAACACATAACTGTATATCACTAGACAGAATATAATAATAAGTAGTTGACATTTGAGGTAACAAGGGAAGGATATAAGGGAAGCCTTTGTACTATGTGTTTTTTGTTTTTTTTTGAGTTGGAGTCTCACTTTGTCCCCCAGGCTGGAGTGCAGTGGCACGCTCACGGCCACCACAGCCTTGACTTGCTGGGCTCAGGCGATCCTTCTGCCTCAGCCTTCCAAGTAGTTGGAACCACAAGTGCAAGCCACCACACCCGCATCATTTTTTGACTTACTGTAGAGGCAAGTTCTTGCCAAATTGCCCAGGTTGGTCTCTGGAACCCCTCAGCTCAGGCAATCCTCTTGCCTCTGCCTCACAAAGTGCTGGGATTACAGGCGTGAGCCACTGTGCCCAGCTTGTACTAGTCTTATAACTTTGCTATAAATGTAAAATTATCTCAAAATAAAAGTTTAAAAAGTTAAAGTAAACATAAGGAATACATAAACTACAAACAGATTTCAAATTCTGTTCCCCCAGTCTATGCAACTGATTGGCCCTCTCCTGCCCCCACAGAAAAAAAACAAAGAAACCGCAAAGAATTGGAGAAAAACTAATAAAATAAAAAAATTAAGTTACAATACAGGTAAGGTCAAAGGATTTTTTAAATCACAGAAAATACAAGACATTAAAAGGAAAACAAATGACTGCACTGTGTTTACAAAATTATTCTACTCTTAAAAAAAAATAAGACAGTCGGGTGTGATGGCTCATGCCTATAATTCCAGCACTTAGGGAGGCCGAGCCCATGGGTTCGGGATCAACCTAGGCAACTTGGTGAGACCTCGTCTCCACAATAAATCAGAAGAGTAGCTGGACATGATGGTGTGTGCCTGTAGTTCCAGCTACTAAGACTGAGGCGGAAGGATCACCTTAGCGAAGCAGGTCAAGGCTGCGGTGGCCGTGAGCGTGCCACTGTACTCCAGCCTGAGCAACAAAGTGAGACTCCAACTCAAAATTTAGAAAAAAAAGAATGAACCAAGTACAGTGGCTCACACCTGTAACCCCAATACTTTGGGAGGCTGAGACAGGAGAACTGTTTGAGCCAGGAGTTCGAGATCAGCCAGGGAAACACAGTGAGACTTTGTCTCTCCAAAAACTAAAAAAATTAGCCAGGCATGGTAGCACACACCTACAGTCCAGCTACTCAGGAGGTTGAGATGCCCAAGCCGAGGAAGTCAGGGCTGCGGTAAGCCAAGATCATGCCACTGCACTCCAGCCTGGGTGACAGAGTGGGATCCCAACTCAAAATAAAATAAAATAAAATAAAAAGACTAAGACAAGTAATAATGTGGTAAGTTATGTTCTATATAATCCAACCAAGTTTACTATTCAGAATATGTAAAGAACATCAACATCCCAATAGGAAATAATAAGCTCACAGAAAACACACACACACACTCTCTCTCTCTCTCTCAAACATTTATATATGTCTAAAAGAAAACATATTGATAGGGTATTTTGTTTAGTTTACGATGTATCACAAGCACACAGAGTAAGGACCCAATAAATATACTTTGCTGACACCCAATAAATATTTTTTGATTGTTGAATAAACAGTGAATAATTTTTTTAAATACAGCAAGATACTCAAACTCACCATGGATCAGAGTATTAATATAAATTCAAACTACTATCTGATAACTCCATCAAGCTGGCAGAAATTAAAACACCAAGTGGATGATGGTGTATGGAAATCAGAGAACTTAAAAACTGTTAGTGAAACCACTTTGAAGATCAATTTGGAAATACCTTGTGATTTTTATTTTTTTTATTTTTTGAGATAGGGTCACACTCTGTCACCCAGGCTGGAGTGCAGTAGCATAACTCCAGCTCATCACAGCTTCAACCTCCTGGGCTCAGGTGATCCTTCTACCTCAGTCTCCCAAGTCGCTGGGACTACAGGCATGTGCCACCACACCTGGCTAATATTTTTTATTTTGTAGAGATGCAGTCTTACTAGGTTGACCAGGCTGGTCTTAAACTCCTGGGCTCAAGCAATTCTCCTGTCTCAGCCTCCCAAAGTGCTAAGATGACAGACATGAGCAATTGTGCCCAGCCCCTTATGATGTTTAAATTGTTCATGCCCTAAGACTCAATCATTCCACTGCTAAGACATAAGATGAAAAAGTCATAATACAGATATGACCAAAGGTCAGGTGTCAGCAAACGATGGCCCCGCCAAATCTGGCTTGCTGCCTGCTTTTATGACGTTCATGAGCTAAGAATGGCCTTTACATTTTCAATGGTTGGGGGTGGGACAGAATCAAAAGAAGACTATTTCACGACACATGAAAACTATATGAAATTCAAATACCACTGCCTATAAATAAAGTTTTATCAGAACGCAGCAACACTCATTTGTATTATCTCTGCCTTCCTGCTGAAATGGCAGTGTTTCAGTAAGAACAGTGACTGTATAGACTGCAAAGTATAAAATACTATACGGCCCTTTACAGAAAAATGTGCCAACCTCTGCCCTAGAGAAACACACCTATGTGCACAAGGAAACAAACTTTTAAAAAAAGTTCATAGTAGCAATATGAGACATACTAAAAGGTCCACAGTAACAATGTATGTAACAGTAAAAATCTGGATGCAACCTAAATGTCCAGAAATAGGGGAATGCATAAATAAGCTCTTATATTCATACTACAGAAAACTAAATGACAATGAAAAAAGTACTAGAGTTATTTTTGTCAACCCTGTTAAATCTCTTAATGTTGTAATAAAAAGTTTCAAAGGATATAGTATGACATAATTTATACATTTTAAAACATGCAAAATGGATATATAATTGTTTTAATGCACATATAATCATATATGGTCAGATATACATGTATAAGGAGTAAAGGATAAAGAAATGTATGAGAATGACAACTAATTACCAAGTTAAGGATCACAGTTACCTGGGGGGGGAGCAAAACAAACAAATGATAACAACAACAATAAAATGAGGTTCATCCCAGCTTCAACAGTATCGGTGATGTTTCCTTCTTTAGGTGAGAAAGTAGAACATGAGTGCTTGCTGTATTATTCTTTATATTTCATACAGATCTGAAATACTTTCTAATAATTTTAAACTAATTTTTACAACAAAGAATATGAAAAAAAAAAATTTTTTTTTTTTTTTGAGTCAGAGTCTCACTCTGTTGCCCAGAGTGCAGGGGCACGCTCACAGTCATCGCAGCCTCAACCTGCTGGGCTCAGGTAGCTTCCAAGTAGCTGGAACTACTTGGCACACGCCATCACACCCGGCTAATTTTTTGATTTATTGTAGAGATGAGGTCTCGCCAAGTTGCCCAGGCTGGTCTCCAACCCATAGGCTCACGCAATTCTCTCACCTAGGCCTCCCAAAGTGCTGGGATTATAGGCATGAGCCATCATGCCCAGCAGGGAAAAAAGTAAAAACTTTTTAAAAGAACAACTGAGAGAAAGTTGCAACTTGAAACATAAAAGCAGTAGCGGAAACTATAACAGAGCACTAAATGCAGAAGTTAGGAAATCTCTCCACAAAGAGAGATTTTAGGTGGCTCTGTAGTGCTACCCGTCTTTCTCAAGAGCTGGCAAGATTCTCTAAAGACAGTGAGTTTCTTGAAGTCTTAAGTCACCATGTAACAAGTCTTAAGAACCTGCAGCAGAGATCAATTGAAGAGGCCTCTAAGCAGCATGGAGTGGGGTCAGCCCGCCACGATGGAACCACCAGATCAGACCAGTTAAGCCAAACCACCACCAAATCACCTCTGAAGATGCTTCATGATGCAGAAAATTCACCCAGTTGGGCCTTTCTTAAATCCCTGATCTGCAAAATCTTTCTTTTGGTACAGAAGACAGACAAGTAGATCTTCTAATACTATCCCAAGGGTGAAGCCTTTGAAAATATTATATTTGTGGATGTGATAGTAACCCTTTGCACTCAGATGGCCCCTTTCAGAGGACATAAAGAGACTGTTGGTGAGTATATAGGACAAACTTACACAAGAGCAAATTTTTTGAAAACGTATGTTTCCTTGAAGTTTTCAATTCAAATTCACCAAAAAAAAAGCAAATAAAGAGATGGAATATATACTGAAACATGACTGATCATATGAGGAATCATATCAGGAATCATGTGTGTCCTTCCACATCTTCTTCGAAAAACAGACTGGACAATACATTACATATCATTAACGTGGGCAGAAGAAAACGAGACTGCATTGTCCGATAGAATAGAAAAACATCAGGTGTAGCCAGGTCGGTGGCTCACACCTGTAATCCCAGCACTTTGGGAGGCGGAGACGAGAGGATTACCTGAGCTCAGGGATTTGAGAACAGCCTGAGCAACATGGCGAGACCTCATCTCTACAATAAAAAAAGAAATCAGCTGGGCATGATGGCACATGCCTTTGGTTCCAGCTACTTGGAAGGCTGAGGCAGAAGGATCATTTGAGTCTAGCAGATCGAGGCTGTGAGTGTGCCACTGCACTATAGTCTGGGCAACAGAGTGAGACTCCAATTCAAAAAAAAAGAAAGAAAGAAAAAGAAAAACACCAGGTGGAAGACCAAATTACTACTGCACAACATGTATCAATGAATCTGCAATGCATGTGAGTGATTATCTCACACGTTACCACACGTTAGAAAAATATGATATAGGCCAGATTCGGTGGCTCAGCCTATCATCCCAGCACTTTGGGAGGCCGAGGCAAGTGGACTGCCTGAGCCCACAGGT